GGGTGAAGTTAAAGAAGGGGCATGACCTATGAGGATCTGGAGTGTGAGGGGGTGTTTCAGGCAAAGGCCGCAGTACAGAGGTCCTGAAATAGGAAAGAGCTTGAGATACTTTCACAGGATTAGAAGACCTGCCGAATAGGGGTGAGCTCCGTATGATGTGATTGGCATAGGAAAAAGAAACTAGATTTTGCAGAGCCTTGTGAAAACAATGGAAGCAAACAAAAACTCTTAAGTGAAAGATTGTCGTGATCATTTCTCCATCCATCCATCCTTTTGATGGCTTGGAGGAAAGGATTAGGATCCAATGATATTAGGAAAAGGAGTAATGCAGAAAGCCGGAGGACAGTTAGGGAGCAACTAAAGTTGCCCAGATAGGCGAGGTGAATGTTTTTCACTATAGAGATGAAAGTGAAGATGGAGAAGAGTACGTGGATCAAGAGAGAATTCAGAGGTGGAACAGTTAGCACTTGCTGCTGGATGTGATATGTAGGGCGAGAGATGTAGGAAATGAAGCCTGACTCCTAAGTTGCTGACTTGACCAACTAGATAGCCGACATTTTCTGTGATGGGACAGACATGAAGGAGGAAAAGGGTGTTTGGAACTTAAAAGATGGAATTTGCCACCATGGGATGAATGCTATTATTGAGGAGAGAAGATGAGAAAATAGAGAACTCAGGAACTCAACACATAGATGGCAGGGTCATAAAGAAGAGCCAGCAAAAGACACTCGAAAATGAGCTATAGCCAACAGGAGGGAGGCAAGGAAACGCTAAAATGATGTGTTTTAATGAGGAGATGATTAAATTTCAAAAGCTTCTGAGAGTTAAGCAAGGTAAGGACAGAAGGTGGACCTTGAAATTGACCAGATGGAGCTCATCAGAGACCTTGCAAGAAGAATTTTAGTGGAGTGTTGAGGACAGAATACAAGTAAGGATGAGTTCTACGTGGAAAATTAAGAAAAGGAAACCACATAGAAGAGCCGATGAGATTTTTTTGTTACCTACTATGACAAAAAGGATATTTGTAACAAGTTATTTGAGAAATTGGGGTTTATATAGACAGGTTTATATCTTCATAAAATATTTTAATATCACCCTGGCATATTTTTTTACCATTTATTTATTTTTGAGAGAGAGAGAGAAAGACAGAATGTGAGCAAGAGAGGGACAGAGAAAAGACCCAGAATCCAAAGAAGCCTCCAGGCTCCAGACTCTGAGCTGTCAGCACAGAGCCTGATGCAGGGTTCGAACTCACCAACCATTGAACTCATGAACCATGAGATCATGACTTGAGCCCAAGTCAGACACTTAAGTGAATGAGCTACCCAGGCACCCCCTCCCTAGTTTATTTTAAATTTATTATGTACCAATTCTTCAGTTGTCAACTTAATCAGAAAAAAAAATTGTCATGATTTGATCACTTTTATTAATTGAGTCCAATTTTTTAAACATATAACCACTATTTCTAACCACTTTACAATAACTTCCCAGCAAGCTCAAAGGGACATTTGAATAAACATATAAGTCAGTCATAGTTTCTACAAACTTCAGTGCTTTGAAATACTTTCCAACATACTGCCTGTATACCAAGGATAACAGAATTGAACACGCTGGTTCTTGCATTATACCACATTTTTCCATGATTTTATCTAAAATAAACTAGATTTTGCACTGGGAGACACATCATGGAAGTGGAGGTCGGCTACTGTTTGTTACTGTATCATTTCTCATGAAGTATCCCATATTAGATGGTTTTTAAGTTATTGTAATCATCACAAATAATTTTATAATGCCATTAGATTATTTTCTCATTAGACTTTTTCTTTTAAAATAGAATTGACAAATAAAAGTTACTCCGTTTGACCCTACTTCATGGCTAGAAAGTGTCTGTCCCACTGCTATCAGCCTTGGATTGCCTGGGTCCTCGAATGTTATTCTTGCTGAGTTCTAGTAACAATCAGCAAACTATCACAGGCATCTTGGCTATAAAATATTACCACTCTTACCAATGAACAAGAAGTGAGAGACACTGGATTTGGAGTTAGAAGACCTGAGTGTGAATCTCAGCTCGTTAGCTTACCACCGTTGTGAGTGAACAAGTCATTTTAACTATTCTGGGACTCAGTTTTCCTAATTCATAGAATAGATATAAAAAATAATTCTTTCCTGACCATCCCACAGGGCAGTTAGCATGTTCAAATGTGAAAGCACTTTATAAACTATAAAAGGTTGGAACATTTGGTCAGTATTGTGGTGATATGAATTAGATGACACAAAGTTTAACTTCCTTCGGGCTCTGAAAATCTACCACATTTTTTCCATTCTCTAATTTTTAAGTCTTTACTGCTCACCCCCCACCATCTTTAGGCTCTTTTGATTAAAATCTGCTTCATTGTTTATTTCTTTGTCTAATCCTTTAAGGCTGCTAGTTCTGCTCTACCTTTACGTTAGAATTTAATTTTAATAAGATTAGAAGAGAGGTAAATCTATTCATAGGAATATATCCATTTTCTTTTTCATATTTCACATCAACATGGGTGCATAGGTGACATCTGCTGTCAGAAGCAGATTCTCTCTCTGGTGTTCTTCTAGATTCTCATCTTTTGTTCCTAAAATATGGAACCTTTAGTGACATGTGCCATCAGCATGTCCCATCCTCAGGCTACACAGCTTTCATTCAGAAACATTGCAACATACTGTTGTTACCACCTTTGACAACAGAGAAGCCCTCAATGCCAGCAGCAGAAGGGCCTCTTCCTACTCTGCTAGCTAGCTGAAACTTCCTCATAAGATCTCACTATTTAATTTTCAAATGGAACTCAAAGCTCATGACTAATGTTCTATAACAACTGCTTAAAACTGTTTCCATGCTTGCATTTTGCTGTATGAAGAAAAGAATTTTGCTTAATGTATACTTACAAAACTGTCCTGCTGAGTCGCAGTGCCAAGAAGGCCAAGCATTCAAGAGCAGAATGGAAACACTGACATTTAGCATTGATACTGCAGAAAACTACTATGCACTACATTGGAGCCTGATTTTTTTTTACAGCACAGATCACAATAATGGCGGGAGATGGCAAAGGAGGCCTAGGTTAAATGCCTTCCTACATACTTTTCTCCTTCCAGTATGTCACCAAGGCTAGGCTACAGTGACTGGAGACAGGAAACAAAGTGACCATCAACATGCTGTTTCCATTTAATAAAGCAGTGTCTTCAGGGGCACTGGGTGGCTCAGGTAATGACCGTGTGGTTCATAGGTTCAAGTCCCATGGTCGGGCTCTGTGCTGACAGCTCAGAGCCTGGAGCCTGCTTCAGATCCTCTGTCTCCCTCACTCTCTGCCCCTCCCCTGCCCATGCTCTGTCTCTCAAAAATGAATAAACGTTAAAAAAAATTTTAAATAAAACAATCTCCTTCTCAACACTCTCCTTGATCATACCTGAAGACTGGATACCGTGATCCAGCTCCACTGTAATCAAATAATTTCAAAGCTTTTATACTTTATTTTTAAACAAAATCTTTCTTTTAGTATATATTTTTTCTGTCTAGTGAAGCATGCTTTGGGAAGTTGGTTATATAGGGAAGTTCTGGTTCTACGGTGACATTGTAACTCTAGCTGCAGAAATGGGGGCATATTTGTCAATAAACTACATTGATTTCTGTCTCTACTATTTAGCAGTTTCAAGCATCTCTCAACTATCATGTGCGGTGTTCCCTGTTAGGTTACCAAAACTTAAGATAGGTATTAGAATAGCAGAAGAGAAAAAAAATCAAAGACATTTGCCTAAAGGTTTACATATTCAACTGCCTAAATATTGTTTTTAGTAATTATTTTCATCCCCAGTTCATCCAAAAAAAATCCAAATTAAAAAAAAATTTCTGGGATGTGTGAGTGGCTCGGTCAGTTAAGCATCCAACTCTTGGTTTCAGTTCATCTCATGATCTCATGGTTCATGAATTCAAGCCTCATATTGGGCTTCCATGCTAGCAGTTTGGAGCCTACTTGGGATTCTCTCTCTCTCTCTCTCTCTCTCTCTCTCTCTCTCTCCCTCCCTCTGCCCCTCCCCCACTCACTCTGTCTCTCAAAATAAATAAACTTTAAAAATTAAAAGAAAAGGCATATTGGAAAATTGCTTTATTCTCTAAATATTTGGAGGACCCTTCTACATTTACTAGGTATCTCCTTCTATACCAAATCCCTCTTGGCACAGGCTACGTATACCTTCCCTACACTGATATTCATAGAATCACATTAGTTTCATTTAAGTAATATTTTCTGATTTTATCAGGTCTACCGCCTAATTATTTTATTAATACATACTGATCCATAACTAGATTCTGGAACTGTTTGAGAGTCAGAGCCATAAGGGACACTGAAATAATTGACATCTACACTTATATTTCACTAGCGTGTGAACTATTTTTTTTTTACTAAATTATAATACTTTAGTTCCTAAGAACTAGCAGTTAGGACTTTCCTATCATGGAGAACCATCAAATACCAAAAAAAATGTGGGTGAGACATACAGAACTTTGGGACTCAGACAGAAGGCCAGAGAGAGTTTGGTAGAAATGAAGACTGAGGTAGGCTGGTGGGAAGTCTTAAGAGGTGTATATGATGTTTTCCTATATACCTTTTACTCCTTTGTGTCTCTAAAATAAAAATTATAGTTTTGCTGTCATAGACCTGAGGTCTCCTTCAAGATTGAAAGTTGTGTGTAAATTCACATTTAAAAAACATTCTCCTTGCTGAAAAAATTAAGAGGTCAGGATGAGAAATATTCTGTATTTTTATATTATTTAATTTTAATGGAAGTTCAAAGTAAAAATGAAATCCTATGGATGGAAGAATGTGAAACTATAAAAATTTCCACATTATTCTTACTTGAAGGAAATACTTGTAATACAAAGGTACAGGATATTTAATTGAAAATAATTTTCATTTTGTTTGACTAAACATAACTTTATTTTGGTTTTTCTTCTTTTTAAAAAAATCTAACAGAGAAGAAAATCACGATATTCAGACCTTGACTTTGAGGTAAGTTTCTGTGGATTTTTAAAATAATTTTAATTGCTTTGATTCAAAATTGACACACAATTCAACGTATTGCTCTGCAGTATGTAGGGGCTCTCTTCTTTAAAACAAATGAGAAATCAAACATTTTTAATTAAATTATTACTGTAAAGATAGTAGAAAAAAAATTTTACGTTCTAATTGCCTTAGATGTGTGATAAACTGAGATTTTCCAGACAGGGAATCCATTTTATAAATACTAAGATAAATGGGTAATTTATGGTAAAGGTTTAATTTGATCAATTCAGTTTGTTATGAGGTAAGAGTGTTAGTTTCTTCATTTTTCATACTTACAACAGTTATATTGGTTTTACCTCAGTGACTACTTGCAGAGAGCCTGTAAGAATGCTTTGGCTGGTTAGCTAGGCTTTCTCTGGGAATTGCCTTGTGTATTCACTCCTCTTATTCAGGGTCTCAGTGCTACATTCCAGATTCTTTTTTTCAATACAAGTATTGGTTCAGTGTGCTCCTGTGTTCAGTAAATGCCTTTTTACAGATATAAACAAGATGAAGATGTTCATTTTCCAATTTGCATTGAATTTATATTGATGTTGTAATATCGATGCTAGAAATTACTGAAATCATACCATTTGAGCAGCTTATGCTAAGCACAAAATTAATGATGTTTGAGCGTCACATAAAAGGCACTTATGCATCTTGATAATTGGGTATGATTCATAGCCTGCTGACATAATTGGATATAATACATTATAAATTTCTCCAGCATATTTGTACTGTGTTGATGCTTACATGGAACTTGATACTCTTAGCTGATATTCCTAAAATTGTGGAAACCTCTTGGAATATGGGAACTTCTAAATCAATCATTTTGTTGATGTAGATGAATGTTGTAGCTCAGCAATAATATATCAGGTATCAAAAGTTGGACTTAGCAGTTTTTATTTACTGCAATGGTAAACAGGCTCTGGTTTTACCCTGAATAGAGTCCGTAAAGAATTGGTCTTTTTAGGAAAATTTCAGAGTACAAGAAACAAAGTAATGATAACCTGGCTTCAATGATTATATGGAAAAATTTCCTACTGATGTGTCTCAGTTTTAGCAACCTGGCATAGGATAAAAAACGTCATCATATCTTGTTTTGGTCTACAAAGAAAAAACATTCAGCAATTTCCACTTTTAGATTTTTTTACTGCCTTTTAAGGGACAAATATTTTTTCCTATTCTTTAACCCAAAATTGAGGATCATTGTGTATATATTTTTTGTCCCTAAAACATTAAGTTATATTAGTACAAAGGAAAGGATATGGGAATTAACTCATGAGGCATCAGTGACAAAATATAGTAAAAACCTAGATCTAAAATTAAGCCTCAGTGCAACCAACCAAAGCTACGTAATCACAAACTCTGAAAAGAAATCTGATCATTTGTGTCCCTTGGAGCATTAGAAAAACTTTTCCTTTTTCATATATTCTCTATATGAAATATAGCAGATCCCTTAAGCTGATGCTTTTTTCCTGCTGCTTAGCATCCAAATGTATAGCCATGATATTATCAAAACACTTGCTGATAATGGAAGGATGTTGCAACACAGCAGCCCTGGATAGTTAGCTCTTCTATTGCTGTAGTTATTGCATGATTATGAGAAGTGTAAAATATGAGGGTAGGGTGGGGGCATGATGAAGAGCCCGACTTGCCTCCCTCCCCTTTAATTCAGGCTTGATAAATTTTGTTTATGTCAAATTACTTGATAGTCCCCCAACTCCCACCCTATAAGCCTTCCCACACAATGGTCGACTTGGGCATTTTGCCACTGACAAGCAGATTTGCCTCCTGGGCTCCTGAAAATATCTTCCCTTTAGGCCTCATACAGTCCCCAGAGTCTATACATAATAACAATATTCTCTTAACTCATAAAACATTACCTAGTAAGTGTTGTACCTGGGGAAAAACCCTTTCATGTTGCCAGTCTCCAAGACAACACTGTAGTTTTTGAATAAATAGAGCAGAGTGTTGATTAGCCTTAATGGTTTAACATCAATTCTTACTTTCAGAAATGTATACAGAAAATACTGTAGTGATATTCCTTTGTTCTGTGACCAAACCCCTGACTGGATTTGCATTCCCAGCTCCAAGCAGAGATCTGGTATATAGTGTCAAACTTAAAAAAGTAAATAACAAAGGTTATCAAGCAGCACATGAGTTTATTTGGGAATTGGAATTCAGGACATGCAAGCCTGGAGAGGAGAAGAAGTTGGGAGGCACTATTTTGAACAAAAGTTCACTAGAGGAAAATGAGAGAGTTCCCAGGACTGGCACCTTCTCACTGGCTGTAGGAAAGGACAGCTTGCTGTTGCTGGGCCCAGGGGAAATCTTCCTTCTGCTGAAATACACAAGTTATGACTGTGGTAGTATGTGAAAGAGCTCCTCACTCAGGACTTCCAACTCCATTAGAAGGAGGTTTCCTATGTTTATTTTCACTTTATCCCTTTTGGCCAAGATCTTGGCCTTTAAAAAAATTTGTTCTAAATTTCAGAGTTTATTCCCCTTAGTAATGGCCTGGGAGATACAGGTGATGGTTTTATTTTACCAGGCCAATGCCAGCATAAAGGAAACAAGGGGTAAAGAAAGACTTTTATGTTTAAAGTATGAAGTCTTGATCCAGTGTCTTAAGTGGAAGCAGTCTGCCTTGAGGTCAGCTGCTTCTCTTGTAGATGTCCAGGGTTTGTACAGGACCAGAGGTCAGGTGCAGCCATCTTTAACTGTGGATGTATATCCCATTATCAAGCCCCTGAAGTCTGGCTATCATTGGCTAGTGAGGAGGACCTGGGATAGTTCCTTTCAAGGAGGCTCAAGGGCAGTCTTTGTTCTTATTCATTCCGAATCAGAAGCATGGGAAAAAATTGTAAATGTTAGTTTACAGAGTCACAGCCATGTATTTGCAAAAACCAGGAGAATTTAGGATCTAGTATAGTTTATTAACAGGATTAGAATCTAATATAGACAGAAGTGCAAACATAATTTTTCTTTCTATACTTACTGATGTTTTTTACCAAAGATAATCATAGCAAAACTAATTAGTTTGCATTACATTTGGCCTGTTTCCACAAGTGTAGCAAGAATAGTGGTTGACCATATAAGCTCTTTTTAAGACTGCTCTGCTAGGACCTTGTAAGCAAGGTGCCAGGGCGACTTTTCTGAGGAGCTTTACTGGCTCCATAAAGTCAGCCTTAGTTTCTTAAAAGCTGTCCTGTCAAATCTGAGACTTTGCACATCTCTCTCGAAATAATACAATGAGAGCCTTGGTAAAATAGCCCATATTTCCAATTGCTATTACAAGAGGAACAGATTCTCATTGAATTTATGCAAATAGCTAGCTGCATTGCCATATGATCCAAATTCTGAAGGGATCAGGTAGGGAGGAAAACAGATATTTCACCTTTGTTTACAAAGGTATGTTTTACCAAACTGCTGTCTTTGATAGATAGTTTTAAAGAGAAGAAGGTTTTCTTTTAATGTTGAAAGCAAAACAGTAAAGGACCAGCAATGTGTCAAAAATAGAAGTCATAAAATTATAATCCTTCTTAGTTCATCCTTTTCCAAGTTATTCTTGTTTCGCTTGAATCCAGTGTTTCATTAGTTCTAGAAACTTTTACCCAGTTCAATTTTGTAATCTCAAAGTTATCAGAAACCTGCACTTTTTCTGAGCCCTTTCCATGAATCTCTTTGAAGACAAGTCACTTCTGTAGGTTCACTCTTATAAAAAAGCATTAGAGTAAAACTGTAACTCCCCGAAAATGGTAAAAGCCTTAAACTGCCCATTATTAAAGATCTGATACAAGTTCATTATAATGGAGTTGACAAGAAAATTTGGTTTTCTGTATAACATTTTAAGATAATAACTGATAACATTATACCAAGATATCAGATTTCCAGGAATTTCATATAATTTCTGTAATACTAACATTAATCACATTCACCTGCATCACATGACCTAAGATGGTTTATCATCACTTATTTTAAAATGTTTCTCATGTAATTTAATATACCAAATAAGCCTAATGGGTTTAACCTCTCTCTTTTTATAAGGCAAAAGAACAAGTCTATTGAGATGTGTGTTAGGGACCTCTTAGAAAACTCAAAGTTAGTACAAGGTCAAAAAGGCTATTTAGAATTGGATTTGGGGAAGTTTGTCAAAAATATCAAAAGGTTTTAAAACACTTGGTTAAATAGGATCATAGGTCACTATGAAACAATACTTAGTTATCCATTTAACCATGGTAATAATGGAAGATGTTAAAAGGCAAATACAGAAAGTCACATAGTTCTGAGTAAAAACTTACATACTCAAAGACTTGATGAGGACAGCAAATACACAAGATTATTTTAACAAAACAGAATCCTTTTTTTTTTAAGCCAGATTACTTTAAAAGATAAAGGAACCCTTATTTACAATCTGTTATCAAAAGCAGCCCAATATTCCAAGAAAAATTTGTCCTTTTATCAGGTAAAAGAAAAATTAGTGTTTAATTTTACATAAATACACTATTAATATTAAAGCTTGTTTTTAAAATCCTTATAATAAATTTTATCCAGCTTGATCATAAATAAAAATTTTTCCCAAGATTTCATTTTTACAGACCTTCTGCCACTTTCTATGTCCACCTTAGTCTGTCCCTTCTATTTCCCTCAACAAAAATGTATCTCCACACTTCATACTTTTTTTTCTCATACCTTTCTAACCAAAACACATACCCTACTTTCCTTATACACAGAAATATATATACTTTCCTTATTGTTTCTAGTAGCTTTAATCACATGTTAACTAGAATTGTTAACATTTAGAAACCTTAATTAGAATTCTTAACTCTTAGAAACCTTATTTTTTTGTGAAAACTAAGCAAGTAATTATGAACTTTTACAGTAGCAAGTAGGTTGGTAATTTCATGAATACATCTCATAATTTCTAGAAACATATGCTCCTTCATAGTACAATTTTTTCAATA